GCCAACTTGGAAGCTTCTGGGCTCACGTATTTATGAGTCTGTCTATCTTGGATGTTCTCATTTAAAACTGCAGTTCTTCAGGGAGAGCTCTTTTAAACTCTTTGCATGAACATTCAGTAATATGTGCATAGATCTAGACTTTGCAGGTTCATTCAATATCACTCAGTAAGACTCTACACAACTAAAAAATAGAAGTAAAGCAAATAAAATTTGAGATCATATCTAACCATTTTATTTACACTACACTGAACCTGTACAGTTAAAAGTTCTTTTGATATCTTTGGCAATGCCAAATACGCTCATTTGTAAACTATAATCCTCACTTTAAAAATTAGGCTTTTCCCAAAAGCAGCATTAAGAATGAATTTCATTTTGTGGACTCCCTCACCCTAAATGTTTTTATTTGGTTAAAACACATGAGAGACAGGCTTGAAGGGAGAAAAGTAACAGAAGAGTGACTAAAATCTATGTTGAGATTCTGGAGGTCGGCAAGAAAAATGACCAAGGGTAAATGGAGGCTTATGGAGAGGGAAGTCAGCAGTCCTTCTAGAAACATTTTCTGAATAGCTGCTGAATGCCTAGGATTATGAGAAAAAAGCAATTATTATGCCTGCTGTAATCAAAGGCATTACTAGAGGTAACACTGATCAAATGAGATTGATCATGCACATATAAATGTGAACTCCTCCCAACTGTGATATGTAGTTAGCACAAAACTGCATGGTAATCAGGAAAGGTCTCCCAGAAATCTTTTTGTATGTAAGTCAAGTTCTGATACAACCTCACAGTACCAAACAGGAGATGGTAAGGAATCTGATAAGAGCAGCTATCAGAAGTCGTTATTGGTTTCAGGCTGAAAAGACAAGGAGAGAAGAGAGGTGGCCAGGTGCTACAACACCAGGAAGCTGGGAGCACAGCAGACCTGTCGTGTGAGAAGCATGTGGCCATAAAGGAGAGTGGCTGCAAAATGCACAGAGGAGAGCAAGAGCGTCTTGGGTTCCTCATCAGTTATTCACACTAGTCAAACTCAGCTGAATGCTGGCTGTAACTGAAGATTTGAAATACAACCTGCAAAGGTCAGCCCTCTAAGACACACAGCTGGTAAGGTGCCAAGAGAATGTCTAAGGCCTGAAACAAGCAGAGCGCTGTCTATGAGGGAGAAATGAGTCAGGGAAGGATACGTGTGTGTCAGACAGTTTAGGAATACAGTAAGTAGAGTACGACAGATAGAAAGGAGTGAAACTTGGTCAGCATGGTTAAATTAAAGCAGAGAATGGGAGGGCTGAAGGGAGAGCAGAGAAAAATAGAGCAGGAGGTAAGGAATGACTGTTGGTTACACCAATGATTTGTGCTTATTGAATAAGCAGTAAGAAGTCACTGAGGGATGTAGGCAGGCAACGGACAGAATCAGGTTTTCTATCAAGAGACCACTTATCTTCCCAGGACGCTCCCTGAACAACTTTAACACTTAATTCTACCAGGTACAGGCCCCATAACTTAAACAGTATAAAGCCTATCCATGTTGCTGTGCAAACTGCAGCATGCAGCCCAAGTATCATCATCAAAGAGCGTTTAATATTCGTCTGATTATCATCAGGAAGGTCATATTGTCATAGTCCCACTGACTTGGTTTTTTACCCAGTAAATTTAATTAACTGTCCTAGTGTTAACTTTCCATGTTAATTTTAATTCTCTTTCTTCCCACCTTATCCATCTTCCACAGTCTTTCCAGGTACATTACCAGGAAGCTAGATGGCATTTATCTGGGCCTTGAACTAGCACTCTAAAGTCAGAAGGAGTGACTTCACCTGCTATGCCACAATGCTGAAACTTTTGTAAAATTTGAAAACTCCTTAAATTTGTTTCCTAGTGAAAGACAAGCAAATTATCATCAAAGACCCTTGTGCTAGGACTACCCCTGCAGCCTTCCCAGGTGCGTCAACAGGAAGCTGGATGGGAAGCGTAGTTAGGCCTTGACCTGGCATTCTGATGCACGAAGAGGGTGTCTCAAGTGGAACTTCACCTGCTCTGCTGTATCAACCACCACTTACTATTTTTGAAGAGGAAAACCACAAGTTCACTCATTTCTCTTCTGACAATGAGACAAGCAGTGCACTAATCTCAGCATATTAGCTTGTCCCAAATTTTCCTTGGATTTCCAATAAGGTATTTCTAATGTTGGTTTTATTTAGGCTAGTATTGCTTTTTTATTCTACTACTTTTTATGCAAAATCCACTTAAAAATAAAATTTTATCAGTTGGATTGGCCATTTTCTGGACCGGCAGCACAAAAATCATTCATAACTACCCATCCTGTGGACCTCTACTTTCTTTTTTTTAATAAATCCTGAAAATTTTCTTTTTAAATTAGAAAGTCAGATACACAGAGAGGAGGAGAGACAGAGAGGAAAATCTTCCATTCACTGACTCATGCCTCAAGTGGCTGCAATGGCCAGAGCTGAACCAATCTGAAGCCAGGAGCCTTAAGCCTCTTTCGGGTCTTCCACGCAGGTACAGGATCCCAAGGCTTTGGGCCGTCCTCAACTGCTTTCCCAGGCTACAAGGAGGGAGCTGGATGGGAAGCATGGCAGCTGGGACAGGAACTGATGCTCATATGGAATCCTGGCACCTGTAAAGCAAGGACTTTTAGCACTAAGCTACTGCGCTGGGCCCTTGGACCTCTACTTTAATTGTTGAAAAATTAAGATGGTTACCTACATTTCCTTGTCACTGGAAGTCATGTGATCCAATTGTGACCAGTGAGACTTAAGTGGAAACCCTGGGAGGATCTACCATCTCAAAAAGCCCCTGGCCTGCCTTAGTCTTCACTCTTTTTCCTAAAAGTTGCATATGTAGGAGCTGACATGGTGGGGTAGCACGGTGGTCCTCAACCTCCAGCACTGGCCTCTTATATGGGTGCCAGTTCGAGTTCTAGCTGCTCCACTATCAATCCAGCTCCCTGCTTATACAAGACCTGTGAAAGAGGTGGAAGCTGGCCCAAGGCTACTGGGTTCCAGTTTTGAACTGGCCCAGCTCTGGCAGCTGCTGTGGCCTTCTGGTGAGTGCATCAGCAGAGGAAGACATCTTACCCTGCCCCCCTCTCTGCAACTATAAAATCAAAGTTACATTTGTAGAGGTACTAGATGTCTTGCATCCATGAGACAAAAAAGGATAATGTAAAAGGAAGCCATGCTCTTAGTAACAGTATCTTAAGACTTAAGAAAACTTAAACATGGAAGGGATTAGTTTCTTTTATTCTGTGTCAATGTTGAACAAGAACTGAAACCTAAAGTCTGTGTGTACAAAGACAGCTTACTAAACTCATCAAGTGATTTAATATATCTGCTTTTTATCTGGTTCTGTTTTCTACCCAAATCTAAAATAGATCTCAAATGATCAAATCCTGCTGTGTTGGACAGACTAATTTTCCTTAAAGTGATTAAATTTAGGGCCTGGCACAGTGGGCTGGTCGCTAAAGTCCTTGCCTTGAATGCAATAGGATCCTACATGGGCACCAGTTCTAATCCTGGCTGCTCCCACTGCCCATTCAGCTCCCTGCTTGTGGCCTGGGAAAGCAGTCGAGGACGGCCCAAAGCTTTGGGAACCTGCACCAATGTGGGAGACCCGAAGAGGCTCCTGGCTTCGGATTGGCTCAGCTCCAGCTGTTGCAGCCACTTGGGGAGTGAATCATTGGACAGATCTTCCTCTTTGTCTCTCCACTTCTCTCTATATGTCAGAGTGTTCAATAAAAATAAATAAATCTTGTTTTAAAAACTGATTAAGTTTAGACATATGTAACTAATGCCTGCAGACTCTTAACTATTGCTGACACTGTATTTTCAAAATTATCCATGTCAGACTAACATTTGACATAATGACTTAAGATTAAAGTATTATTAACTTGCATTATAAAATATTAAAACTGTCTACTCTCATAGCTTTTAAATATGAGAAACAGCAATGCCAATTAGAGCAGCAAGTCAAAACCAGTTCAGAGGAAAGCCAAAACCTACCCAATATTTTTTCATGTAGTAATGTATTTCAAGACAAATTCTAAAACTAGTTATTTCCCTAAAGAGCTGTACTAAATTGTTTGAGATGTAACTTAAAGGAACACTGGGACAAGAACAGCCATGAAAGAAAGGAGAAATCTCTCCTACCATCTGCCTTGATGATGTTACCATGCTCAAAATCTTCACCAGCTCCTCACTGCTTCTCTAAGTCCCAAATCCCCGGGCCAGCCCAGCCTCCTGTAGCAGGTTTATTTCTCCTTATTTCTATACTTTGATCGAAATCTATTTCTTCCAAAAGAACGCTGTACTGCCTGTCCTTTTATGTAAACATGTTCCTAGTGGTGATGATACAGAAGTTAGGAACATCTGAAGCAGAGTAATATCCCTAATGATACCACATGATTGCCCATAAAGATTTGGAAGCATTTTGTTCCTTACAATAAGAAGGATGTATTTACATTAAAACAATTATTCTAAAACTAATTTTTTTTAACCTAAAACTAAATTTACCTAAAACTAAAATTTAACTGAACATCCCAAAGTTTCTTCCAAGCCTATTCCACACACACTCTTCTAGTTCATGTTGGTGTCACAGGGAGCGCCTCTTTAAGCAGCTTGAATTGTCCTCCAGCATCTAAAACAGGGGACAGCACAGAGTGCAGGGAAATACCTTCTTCATGACTGAATGCTCTGAATTCACAAGCCTTCTAACGTGTTTAGTAAAATTATTTCTAATTTTATAATTGAAACATGTACAAAGTTCTAGAAGCAAAATTAGACTATTTTGGTTCAGGCAATGTGCATGCTAAAACTAGTTTCATGCAATTTGTTGCTGTTATTGTATTGTGACAAGGCAAACAAGTAAGATTATTCATAATTATCTGTACATAACCAAAAGTAGCTCTAGGAATATAAGAAATATTAATATAAAGACATGCTTATCAAATAAACTTTATACAGGTGTAAATCTATGTAAATCTATTTTACCGTCTTAATAGAACTCCTCTGTTTTTCTTCCCAAACACTACTGCTCAACTCAAGTGTGCAATGAATATTTGCCTCTCTGTCATAGGATCCAAAAATGAATAACCTGTGGTACAAAAATAAAATGAGAGTATTATTCCAGTTATACACATTAAAATTTTACTTCCTAATCATTTAACCAGAAAAAAAATACATTACTCTATTATTATTAAAGTCTTAGCAAAAGAAAAAATAGTAAAACATTTGGTACACCCTCTAGTGGAAGACTGAGGCAAAGGTTAAAATTAGGTGAGATTCCACAGCTTGTTTTTCTCTCAGCATGTAAGTCAAATAATAGCATCTATGAGGAAAAGAAATCGACCAGGTTCCTCACTGTGGCGGTAAGCGCTACAGAGATCTTCAGAACAGACAACTGAATCTGAAGCAACGCTACGCAGTGGTTTCTACAGTGCATCATCTCTGCAACAATTAAACACACGGATGTACACAGCAGTTGTTTATAAACACACATAATTCACCATCTATTACCTCTCTCCATCACCTGTTAATGTGCCCTTGGGCAAATTGCTTCACTCTAACCCTGTCTCCTCCTCTGGAACAATTACAGCAAATGCAGTACTTACCTCTGAGCTGAGAGGGTAACAGAGGACACGTACACAGAGCATTTGGGTAATGCCTTACAACAAACAACAAACGCATAAAAATGCCTACTATTTCTATTATTATCTTGAAAATAACTGCCATAAAATGGTACCATTCAATTTTACTGTTTAGAATTCTGACCTAAAAAGGACATTTGAGGTCTAAATTTAAGATTATGAAAAAATCTCTATATTGAAAAAGAAAAAAGTGTTGCCCACCTTCTATGCTGTCTGTTAGCCCAGACGGCCCGGGGCATATGGAAAGCCCCCAGGTGGCGGCAAAAAGTTCTAGCCGAGAATAGCTGCCCAGGACTCACTCAAATGGAGCCAACCAATTAGAAGACAATACATGCCTTTACCTCAAACTCCATGGGCACCACTACCTAAGCTAGGCACACCTCTGTCTGGATGCGACTTCCCTGGCCCACTACTTTGTGGACCTCACCTGGTGAGCCTCACCTGGGAGCAGACCCCAAGAAAGCCTGGTTTTATCATCATTCCGGTCTCAGTAGCCCTGCTGTCTTGGTACGGTTCTTATCTAACATTCGGTTCCCTGACAGGGAAGGGGCAGGAGGGCTCCTTTAATTGCTTGGAGCCCCTCCTTCTTCTTCTTGCCTCTGGACTGCCAATCTCCATCGCCCTTTCAGGACCCTGTCTTCCATCGCCCTTGCCTGCTGAGACACAAGATAAGTCTCTCCACCAGCTCCTTCGGTCCCCAAAGTCTCCCCATCCTCCTCAGGATCCAAATCGAGCACGTCAATTCTTTGATTTCAAGCCCTCGGCGAGACATGAGCCATCCCCCTGGGCTGACCGGCTCTCTCCTCCGATTCAGAGCCCTCAGGGAGACAGGAGACGTCTTTCCCACTGACCCGCCCTCCAACAGGGAACAAGGTTCCTTCCTAGTCCAACTTCCAAGGTCGAGACGCCTTCCTCCCATTCGGATTAGCTGGGAGGTACTTTGTCAGAACAGGACGGGCAATGCCAAACTGCTGGAGGAAGGCACTTTTAATTTCAATTTCCTCTTGGATTTGGGCAATTTCTGCCGTCACAACGGCAAGCAGTCTGAAGTTCCATATGTCCAGGTTTTTTTGGAATCTTTTCCCACCCATCCCTCTGTTCCTCCTACTCCTGCCCTTCCCTTTGTTGTTCTTGTTCCCTGCTGAACGGAAGATCCTGGCCCTATGCCATGGCTGCGTGGAGTGTCCTCTACCCGAAGCCAATGGAGGGTCCATGTCCTCACCCAAGAATTCTCTGGCCCCTCTACCGCCATGTTTTCTGAGTGGCCCCCCCATATGCCAAACTACTTGGGGTTCCTCCTAACTCGGAACCTTTTCCCTCCATATCCTTCACTTCCTGTGTGGACACCTTGCTCCCAGTTCCCCTCTTCTCCACTTCCTGCCCCGCTGCCATCTTTCCAGGTCCCTCCCCTTCCACTTCCTGTTAACAGACCTTGTCTGCCATCTTGTTTTTCTCCATTCTCACCCTCTGCCTAAATACCTCTCCCTCTTAGGTTCTTCTGACTTAACCCCAATAATGCCCCCTCCTCCTGCCAGGCCACTTCAGGACCTAAGCTCTCTCTTGCTTTGCTGCCACTACAGTGACTGCACATTTTGCCAGCTTTAACTTTTTTCCCCTCTTTTGTCAATCAACCACCTGCTTAGCTGATAGGGGGTGGGGTGGGTAAGAGATAAGCTAATTAACATCTATTTAAAAGAAAAAAAAACCTGTTACTTGCCAAACTTGTTCAGTGATTTAACACTTATGTATCAAAATAATCAGGTATAGAGTTGTTCCAATCCACTGTTAAATTATTCCAAAGCATGAGATAAACCTATGTGCTCTTATCACTGGTTTTACAGAGTATTTCCAGGTTAAAGCATGTTGCAGAAGAGGTGGGAAGTCATGAAAGGGAACTTTTGAGAGGAACACATCGTGTATGATTTATGTGCAACGTAAGTGATCATTGTCCTTAAAAACTGCCTGTAGCATTTTCTGAATATTTATTAGTTATATTACTGCTTTTTTAAATGTACAGTGTAGGTTAACTGTAAACCTGTGCTCTTGTTTCACATTCATAGCAGACTTCAGACCTTTGGTAAATGTTTTCTAGAGCTGTTCTTTGATAGTTTTCACTTGATAATGTTATTATTATATGTAATTAATCTGGTTTTTGTAACTTCTTTCTTCATTCCTCCTCCTCCCCTCTCTCTGACGCTAGTTTGACTGCCAGCTCTTAAAGTGATAGCTAACTTGTTAGACCAAGGAGCCTAATTATTTTCTCATGGGCATTATCTTATAATTGTCAGGATGTGCCTGTGACTACAAATTCCTAGTTCAGCCTATGAAGGGATTTAGGGATAGAACTGAGCATCCCCTTGGCTGACATCCCAAGGCTGCCTCTGCTGTCCACTTCACCAGAGGCCCAGAGGAAGAGTAGTGAGCTAGGCAGCTGGAGGCCCGTTAATGTGGCTTTATACAGTAACCTATTCTCAAGGAGACCCAGTAAGGCCAGGCTGCCCTTGAGTAGCACCTGTTTGTAATGTGGGAAGCTACAAGGTTGGGGAAACAGCTGCCAAGTGTGGCTTTCAAAGAATCCCGTCAACTCTGCCAAGAGCCAGGCCACTGGAAATGGAACTGTCCTAGTGGTCAAAGAATTCCTGGGTCAGAACCATGGTGGGCCACAAGCTAGAAGGCCCTTCCCTCTGCCCAGGTCCCAAAGCACCCACGGCTATGGAGGGATGGCCTAGGTCAGCGACATCACAGGTAAAGCTGTGTATTTCATCCAGAGACACCATCTGTCCTATACCAGCCTCCTTTTCAGGCTAGCTCGCCTCTCTGTCCAGCCAGGTAATGGGAGTCAATGAGATGTCTCCCCAGGGTTTTATTTCTCCTTTATGATGTCTCTTCCAGTACCCCATGAAGAGATAAATGGTCCTGGGCCTCACATACACCTGGCGAGACCTTAATAGCCACCTAATTATCAAACCCTCCTGTCAACCTCTGGATTTGGATAATAGCAGAACCTTCCTGGGTGCATCCAGACTTGAAACTCTAGTGCCCATGTGTGTAACACCTCAGAAACAGTTTTTGCTGGCTGGCACTGTAGCCTTGAAGGCCACTGTCAACTGCAGCCCTGGCCTTACCACAGAGGTCCTTACTTAGCTCCTGCTGGCAGCCAGAGTTCCCATGAGCAGGAGGAGGGAAAGAGCACAGGCCCAGAAGCAGGTCAGACTATCTCCACTGGAGCATGAACACTATACAATCAGAAGAGTTTCTCTTTTCCAAAACCAAATGTTATTTTTGTTTGTTCTTTTTTACAGCCTGTTCCTCAAGGCTTAATTTGACAGTCTTGATCAACTTTTCATGTATGTTCCAGATAAGCCTCCCCACTAATACCATACAACAAAAGGCAGCGGTATTGGGGCTGAGCAGCAGTGACCCCAGTTCCCTGCCAAAACCAAGCGGAGACTCCACCCAAGAATGGCTGGAATGGGGGATCTGCACAGAAGGTTAACACCTGCCAGGATGATCCATCTGTCACCACAGAGGCACCCCCGAGAGGCTCCTCAAGACCAACCCTCAGAGACTACATATTCCAGCGAGCTTCAGGAAGAACTCAAGCCTTCTTTTCAAAAGGACGTTTGATAACTAACCCCTCCTCCATTCCTGTGTCAAACGTAGCCACAAGAAGCCATAGAGGAGAACAATGCCCCTTTTCCTTTATACATAACTCTCTCCACGTGGATTCCCGACTCCTTGTTCCACTTTTTGGACCCTCTGTTCTACTGCCCAAACTCTGTTCCACTATTTCCCCTCAAGGACCCCTTAAGCCTAAGTTGGCTATTTACTAGCTGTGGGGACATCAACCAGGCGAGGACTGGCAGATCGATTTCACCCATATGCCCACCCATAAAAGCCTCTGCGAGAACACACGGACAGCTGTCTTCCAGGCCTGGCTGCTACCACACCTTTGGACTCCAACACCTCTCCTCTCCAGCCTGGCAACTTGCTCTTCCTCAAGACCCTCCGCCCTCGCTCACCTCAATCTCTGTGGATTAGATCTCACACAGTGATCCTGACCACGCCTACAGCTGCCAAACTCCTCAGTCACAGTTCCTGGTATCATGTTTCAGTGTTATTATTCCAACAGCTGTGTGGCACTGGGGAAACCCAGTAGCATTCCGTGGTCCTCATACAGGGCTACATGGCAGGGTGTCCGGGATCTCTACTGACCAGCCCCAGCCCCATCTATCAGTATAGCTCAATGAAATTTACTGCCTCCAGCACCAATTCCTCTTTTGTGTCATTTTCCTCAGCTGTTATGAATCGACTGTTATGACTGTTACGACTGTTATGAATCTCCTAGCAAGTGCCAACCTCAGGGAATCAATTACTCCACAGAAAGATCCAGAAGGGGTTTAATAAGCACACGCCCGGGTTCTATCATCTGCTAGAACTTGCTCCC